ACTACAACCCAAGAGACAACCACAACCATAAAATCTACAACCCCACCAACTGCACCAACTACCACAACCCAAGAGACAACCACAAAATCTACAATTCCATCAACTGAACCTACTACCACAACCCAAGAGCCAACCACAACCACAAAATCTACAATTCCACCAACTGAACCTACTACTACAACCCAAGAGCCAACCACAACCACAAAATCTACAATTCCACCAACTGAACCAACTACTACAACCCAAGAGCCAACCCCAACCACAGAATCTTCAACCCGGCCATCTGAACCCACTACAACAACAACCGAAGAGCCAACCACAACTACAAAATCTACAACCCCACCAACTGAACCTACAACTACAACTGAAGACCTAACTACTGTTTCGACAACTTTAACAACACTTGAATCACCTGTGACTGGTCCCACATTGCCGACATCAGTGACTCCATCACCTGTGCCCCAAATCACTGCCACTACTCAATGCTTCTGCATAGTTAATGGCAAGCATTATAATCCAGGTAAGAAAAAAATACAATAATGTATTTGATTGTAAAAAGCTAAATCAGTTTTCAGTCTTTGTTTTGCAGCTTACCACTGTTTAATCTTTTTTTACCTTTATCTCACCTTTAGAGGATGTAATATTAGACATGGAAGACATTGGATCAGGTGTTTGTCTCACAATGATATGTTCTGATATTTGCGAGATTCTCAACAAGACTGGCCCTTGCAATCCCATACCCACACCCACAATTCCTGTACCTGTCTGTCCTGAATGGGATGTAGTGGTAAGAATGTTATTGTATCTTGCACATTAAGATATATAATTGCATTTATTGCAAAATACTTTAAATATTTCCCCTTTTTTCTCTTTACATCAGCAAAATGAGACCTTCTTATTGTGCAACTGCACCATGGCCAGATGCATTGAGAATAATACAATTGAAATAATTCCATATGAGTGTCCACCCCTTAAGAACATCACTTGTACCAATGGAAAGAAACCAGTTCTTGTCTATGATGAGTACCACTGCTGCCAGCATTACGCTTGTGACTGTAAGTCATTCTGTGGATAAAAGGGTGTATGATATATTTATTCATTTTTACGTTTCTTTATAAGTACATTGGTCATTTTTAACTGATTGTTTTGTTTCTTTTCAGGTGTTTGTGAAGGCTGGGGAGATCCTCATTACATCACATTTGATGGATTCTACTACAGTTATCAAGGAAACTGTACTTACGTCTTGATAGAAGAAATTGTACCAAAACATAATTTGAACATTTATATTGACAATGTCTATTGTGATCCCACTGAAGATGTTTCTTGTCCACGATCAATAATCATATCGTACCAATCAGAAGTTGTCGCACTCATAAATCATAATCTTCTTGGAGCAGCGCAGTTGGAGGTAAGACAATGTATGATCATAATAAAGTTTAATTGTATGTTCAGAAAATCTCACTGGGCTAATTTAAGTAGATTATCACTGTTAATGTTGATGGAATAGTTTGATGAATCCTTTTGTCATAGTACAGAATATTTTTTCTTATCACATAATGTATTACTTTTATCTTTGTAGGCACTGAAAAATGGAGTCCGTCTGAAACTACCTTATTCACATCAAGGTGTTAAAATCTTGGACTCTGGTATTAACTTGGTTTTGGAGATCCCTCGCCTAAAAGTGGTTATTACATTTGGAATAACTGGCTTTAGTGTCACCCTTCCAAATCAATATTTTGGCGATAACACACAGGGCCATTGTGGTAAGAACATATATTTCACCTGTGGCCGTATTGGCAAATCCTTTATTTGAAGTTGATTGTAATTTAAACTGCTTTGTGACTACCATCAGGAACATGCGATAATAACCAGGCTAATGACTGCATGCTGCCTGGAGGCAAGCTCGTAGAAAATTGTGCAGTGATGGCTGACTATTGGCCTGCAAAGCACATTTACCAACCCAACTGTCCCATACCATCTGTACTGCCCACCAATATACCTGGACCTCCACCAACCTTTACTCCATGCAATCCAGACTCCATTTGTCAAATGCTTAAGAGCAGGTAGAAATTATCTAATCTATTGTAGTATTACACATTTATCCCCATAACTTTGACATATTAAAACACAATTTTTATTTTTGTTTGTGTTTTCCTTTCACAGTCTCTTTGAGGCGTGCCATCCCTTTGTCTCTCCTGACAATTTCTATCAAGGTTGTGTTTTTGATAGCTGCCATGTTTCCAACCCAGCAGTGGAGTGCACAAGTTTGCAGACTTATGCTGCTGCCTGTGCTCAGGCTGGGGTTTGTCTGCACTGGAGGAACCACACCAGCCTGTGTGGTAAGTAACCCCTCATTATTTTTAACTGTAAATGCTGAGATCAGTGGAATCAAAAGGGGTAACTCATTTAATTTACTTTTGTTATATCTAGCACACATTAAACAGGCTGCTGTGCATTTTATTATATATAGTAGGTAGGTAAGAAGTATGTATTTTCAAAATAACTAATTGAGTTCTTTGCTTCACTTACAGTAATTAACTGCCCGTCAAACAAAGTTTACAAGCCATGTGGTCCTGCAGAACAACCAAGCTGTGAAGACAAGTAAGTTTAAACAAAAATGAGGTGTATACATTTTGCAGTTCATCGTGCACATTAACGTTTCCTGAAACAAAGATTATAATGGATAGTGGCAATCGATGTTTCTTGTTAACAATAAGTAATAGTAGAATACATAGTATTGAATTAGCTATGTTTTATAGATATGTAAGAAAAGCTATAAACTAACTGTTATTTCTTGACAATTCAATATTACAGTCCTAATGAACCAACCATGAACTACACTACTGAGGGCTGCTTTTGTCCTGATGGAATGAAACTCTTCAACAAAGAGTCCGGCGTATGTGTTGATAAGTGTGGTAGGTGTGGTGCATATTCTGAATAGTCTTATCATTGAGCTGAATATATCATATCAATCATGAAGTGTTCATTTTCCAACAGGATGTCTTGATCCTGAGGGCATTCCCCGTGAGGTGAGTCATGATCAGTTAAAATCCTAACCTTTGCTATTTACCTGCAAGAGACAATTGAGTCACAATTATGATTTATTCTTTTAGTTTAATGAAAGGTTTGAGTACAAATGCCAAAACTGCATCTGTGAGGAGTCCACCAAGACTGTGACTTGCAAACCCAAGCCATGCCCAACACCACCAATAGCAAACTGCGCTGGCCCTGGGTTTGTTCTCGTCAACCAAACGAATCCGTCAGACTCCTGCTGTTCTACCTTCGTTTGCCGTAAGACATGCAGTATCAATTGTCCTCCAGAATTTTCAGAATGTTATACATTGATAACGATGTTGAATGCTCTTAATTATTTACTATGAACCTAATATTATCTCCACAGAATGTCAAAGCAACACTTGCCCAGTCTACAACATGAACTGTCCGGTAGGATTTTTGCCAGTTGTCAGTGTTCCTCAGGGAAAATGCTGTCCAGAACGTACATGTGGTGAGCTCATTAATTCATAGTTTGAATTCATATAAAACCTAATGATGATAGTGACATGTTTATATAATTCCAAATGTTTTGCTGTTTTCTAGAGCCTAAAAGAGTTTGTGTCCACAAAGACAATGAATACCAGGTAAATATGAAATTCATGGAAATATCACACTTTTGTTTTTCATGATTTCTGCTGCACAAGTTCTGTATGGCTAAAACACAAGTATGAATACATTTCTTCTTTATCTGCTAGCCTGGCTCTTCAGTTCCTGGGCCTCAATGTCAGGATTGTACCTGTACCAATGAGGTGGACCCTGGTACTGGTTTATTCAAGATAAATTGTGAGTTTCAGAAATGTCAAGAAAACTGTGACATGGTAAGCGAATTTTCAACCATTATTCTCATACACACAATGCAATACAAGTCGCTGTTCTCAGAATATGTTTTCCAGGAAAGTGAACATGAAAAAATGCACTTAGCAACTTAATCCCCCATTTTCTTTCAGGGATATAAATACCTGGAAACTGATTCAGATGAATGCTGTGGGAAGTGTGTACAGACACACTGTGTTGTCAGTGTTAATGATACCAAGAACCTCTTGAACGTAAGTTGGATCATCTCTGTTGACTGTGATCTAGATGATAATATTAAATAGCCTCAAGTATCTCAGTATGTACTGTATTTTGATATCTGTGTGTGTGTGTGTGTGTGTGTGTGTGTGTGTGTGTGTGTGTGTGTGT